AAAATAATATGGTAATATGGCAACCTAAAATTATAGTCTTTCCCATAGTCTACTACGACATATTTATTTTCCCATAGGATATTAAATTCGTAAAGGGATCACAGAGCTGACACGGTCAACTCTATTTTTTCTCGTTTTTATATTTATTTAGCTTTCATTTTTAGTTAAATTTGTTTTGTATTCAAGATATTGCCTATATTAAATGCTTTCATATTTTTTAAATAATTCTTTAGATTTTTATAGTTTAATTTATATATGTATTCATTGAGATTTTTATATATTTGAATAAATTGAATTTTAATATACTCCACAAATAATTAATTAATTTTTAACGATTAAAAAGTTGTTTATTGTAATATTTTTGTTTTAAAACTTCATTCGTAACTTGCTTTTTTTATAGCAAAAGATGATTTTACCTATTTAATTGTATTATATTTTGATTTTGAATTATTGAATTTTATTAATATACTATACAATGAAATAAATTAAATAAGCTAAATGAAAAAAAAAAGAAAATTTGATGTAGTCAGCACGCAACGTATATTGTCTAGATTAGTAAAAGTATTCCAGAAGATTATGAAAATGCGTTTTATATACTTCTTTACAATTTTAAGGACACTAATAAGCTTTTAGATACCATACCTAGAAAAATGTGAATTTGGCTCTTAGTAGAGTTTCTTTTTTGCCGTCCGAATAATACGTAAAGTTCCTCAGTAACTTCTGGTAGCAACCAGAACTCAAATAATAAATTTCAAGAGATTCCATCAATTCGCTTAATAAGTATAGTAAAAACTGTAAGATTGGCCGCCAGATGAGTTTCCGAGCCTTGATCTTTCCAACAAATTTATATCTTCGTTTAAAACAATCAAATTTAAATATAAAATTTATAAGAAGAAAAATGTTAGATGTTTAAGAAGAAAAATATTGGATTAAAAAACAAATAACATCTAGAAAAAACTATTAACTATTAAGTCGTACGTCTACATTGGCAACATACAACACAGTGCTGATATATGATATACAGAGTTATTTAGTAATCAGTGACATACCGTATACCACAATCTAGAGCATCAAAAATGAGTAAAACTAGATTCAGAACTAGATGTCAAACCTTAACGGTTTCCGAGGTACAGGGATTTCAAAGAATTTTTACGAAATTTCTACTTGCCCAAGTTTTTAGGTTTGTAACTTCTCTTCCGAAAAAGATAGAAGCTTCATCCCTTTAAAGGTAGAAGATAGAAACTTTTTAGAGGAATAAACTGTTTATTAGTATCTAAGAGTTGCTATCACCTGAGGTCTAGAAGAAAAACTATTCCAAAAATTTAAAAAAAAATTTTCTACGAAAATAAGTTTATAGTACAGCTTTATATACATGCGAAATTCACGGACGAACGGACAGAGTGAAACTAATAAGCACTCATTTCAAAATTTTTTCGGAAAAGTGCTAAAAATAGTAATAAAAACACAAATAATAATATTGATCATAGCAACTTTAAAACTAACAACAGTAACGTTAGAAACACAATAAAAAAAATTAGTAATAAAAAAAGTAAAAATAAAAAGAGGAACCATATCAATAATAATAAAAGTAATAATTTTAAAGACGAGAGTAAAAATTATAATTATGTTCAATCTATTAACATAATTATTCATTCTATTAATAGTAATAATAATAGCAATATTAGTAGTGACAGTAATAATAAAATAATAAAATATATTATAATTATAATAGTATAATAATATTACTATTATAATTAGTAACTATTATGAATAATAATAATAACGATAACAATAATAATAATAATAATAATAATAATAATAATAATAATAATAATAATAATAATAATAATAAAAATAATAATAATAATAATAATAATAATAATAATAATAATATTAATAATAATAATAATAATAATAATAACAATAATAATAATAATAAGAATAATAATAATAATAATAATAATAATAATAATAATAACAATAAAAATAATAATAATAAATAATAATAATAATAATAATAATAATATAATAATAATAATAACAATAATAATAATAATAATAATAATAATAATAATAATAGCATTATTAATAATAATAAATAATAATTAATAACAATAAATAATAATTGTTAGAATTATAATTTGATCCACTCTAATTATCGATGCTGTTTATACAAATTAATATTATTTTGAATATACATTATTATGATAGGTATACTCATACAATACCTTGCCTTCACCATTACTTTACTCTTTTAATAATGTTAATTTAGTCTATTTAAACTATGTACAAATTCTAACAAAAATAAATAAGAATAAATAATAACAAATAATAATAAATAATTATGAATAATAATAAATTTTTTTTTTCCTTCTTCACTCCTAGGAGGAGTATAGGGCTAGTGCATGATATCTATCATGCCCTAGTTTCTATAGTCATAGAGAGTTAGCTAGGTAGGTGACTAGCCTACCGTAGTTTTTATTTTTATTAAATATTTCAGTTTATTAATATTTTACTGTTTATTTTTTTTTTAGTCTTTAGTATCGAATATTATGAATATTTGAAAATTACTTGTATAATATTTTTTAGTATTGCATATCAAGTTATATAATATTGAATATAATTTTTATAGTGACCTGACCGGGGTTTGAACCCGAGACTCTTCGTTTAAAGGGCCGGTGCCATAACCACTGCACCAATGGTCAGATGAATAATAATAAATAATTTTTTGTATTAAATATTAATTTGTATTAAATATTAAAAAAATTATTGATATTTTTATTTTGCTGGTATTTTTAATATTGAATATTGTTGAAATAATAAAATTAGTTATATGTAATAAATAATTTTCATTTAGCTATATATTATTATTTTATTTTACCGCCTGACCAAGAAATATGACCAAGAAAGCAATTGAGGAGGGAGGTAGTACCTATATTTTACCACGTTTTAGGGATCACAGCGTGTACAATAATGTTAAATTGCACCTGGCTTATTGAAATGACGCGAAGAATCACATACACTATAACGGAAAGTTTAAACTTAGTATTATTAGTTGAAGGGGGAGGTCTTCCGGTAGATTAGATGTATTTGTCTAGAATCTTCAAAAGATACCACGAGGCTCTTAATATCTCGTCTGAGGAGGTAGGTAAAAACTTAAAAACCTACCGTAATCATTTGGAGAGCAAATGGGTGTATTGAGCGTGATTGAGGGAATATAATTATAGGTTTTTTTATCCCTCAACTTCCTCTAATTTCTGCTCAAAGTTCATCAAAACCCGCGTAATCGGGTCGTAGTATTGATAATTTAATAGCAATGCATCCCTCAAATGCTTTAAAGGATTCAAAAACTTTAGGTAATATTACAATTTACTATAAAAATGTTCAGGATCTTAGGACTAAAACGATTACTGTTCTACTTAATTCCTCCGTAATGGAATGTGGTATCTTTGTATTAAAGGAAATGTGGTTCGATTCCACTATCAATAATTTGAAGCTATTCGGCACTTCATTTTCTGTTTTTAGAAGAGACCGCTACGTAACTGCTTCTAACGGACCCACGCCCAAGGAAGGTAGAATATTGATAGTAGCTGTTAAATACTACCTTTCGGCTAGTGTTATTAATTTTTTGACTGTGACAATCGCGATTTTAATTAAACTGACTTTTAAACAACTTTTAGTAGTCAGTTGCTATATTCCACCTAATTCTAATTTTCTAATGTAATTCTCTTTATTGGTTGAAAACATATGCAATTACCTTAACTTGGAGAACGAAGAGTTAATTTTTGAAGACTTTTACTTCCCAAAATAGCATGGATGCCACATGATGGGGAATCATTTTTGGTTCCAAATCGTTGTGAAGGTGAGTTGGAGCAATCTTTGAGAGACCCCTTTTATTTAAATGATTTACAGCAGATTTCAATTTGAATTATTGCTAAACTTTTATGGTGGAAACTATATCTACTTTTCTAAATAGATGGCAGAAGCTATGGCTGGCGATAAATAATATGGAGTAAAGTTTTCAGACGGATGTGGTCTATACCGACTTCAGCCTTCGATGTTTTACCCTGTGATATTTCTGTACATAAAATATTGCTGTAATACAAATACTGAAGCCTATAAATATATGGTTCACAGCTTTGGGTTATGGAAAGTGAACACTTAACAGAACTTCCGTGTCTTTCTTCACGGAATATAGACGCAAAAACATAATAGAACAAAACTAATGGTTAGTCAGTTTTGGAAATTCTGGTCTTCTGCAAGTGATTTGCAGGTTGGGTTAAAATTCCCACTAGTTCTGACAACATATTATTTACAAATATTTTTATAACTACATAATGTATTATTATACAAATTAAATCAAAACAGCAAAATTTAAAAAAAAATCTTGTGATCAGCACATTACCGATCGCAAAGTGTATTTTATGATTAAACGAAAGTGTTGAAGAATACTATGAAGTTGTCCTTTAAACACTTCTTTCAAATTTTAAAGACGATTACAAATTTATTATGCTGTTCAAATTCCCTGAAAAATTTCTCCAAACAGAACTTAAATACATTGTATATTTTATATTTTCTTAAATATGATGAAAAATGTAAAATCAGGCCGTAGTAAAGATTCAGTTCCCGGGACTTGACTTAACCCGAAAGTTGATCAAACTGTGACATAACACAAGTAAATAACCAGACACACCTGAGATGACGATCTGCACAGACTGACAGGCAAACTTATAGATAATTCCTAGTTGTTCCAAAAGTAGACGAAAGAGTAACGATTCAAAAAAAACAATATTCCGTTGGGTACTTATTTATTTGAAATAAAAGAAAACACGTCATGTGCAGATTATGTATATACATACATATACGTATATCTTAAATTGACATTGTATTTTTAATAATATATAGGTAGTTCTTTCCCGCAGGTAAATTTATAAATATGAACTTCAATATTAAAAGGCAACATACTTTAAAATTTATGGAAACTAACACAAATAACTTACTTGCTTTACAAGGATCCCAATCAATATCATTTGAAATCTTTCGCTCAAATGTCGTATTTAATAATTCCTCTATAGTATATTTACTCGTAAATTTTTTATAGTTTTGATTTTGTAATTTTTCCTTATTGTTGGTATAATGATTACGACGATTACGATTTGTATGTTTCAATTGTTTCGTTGGCGGGCGTTCGGGTGTCAATTTATAAACTTCACTATTTGTTTGATTTACTAAATCGACATTTTCGTAACCATTGTTTTTGCAACTTACACATTTATTATTTTTCTTTTTTTCTGTTACCTCAAAGGTGGAATTTATATGAGGTTGTGCTGCTGTCATCACTGTTGTTAAACTATTACTATTCTTTGTTAACCGTGTTTTATTTTCAAAACATTTACTCCAATGTATAGGTATTGCAAGTGTTATTAAAATTATTAAAAAAAAATTAATCAAATTTAAATCACCAAAAAATGTTTTAATTATTGAAGCCATTTTCTTTATTTTTTTATAATTTAGCAAAAAAAATTAAAATAATTAAAAAGTAAAATTATAAAAAAAACGAAGCACAAGTATTAACGGCACGTCAAATTATTTTTTTTGTATTTTTTTTCATTAGTACATTTTCCTATAGGACATTTTTATACGGAATATTTTTTAATATTTCTAATTGCATTGAATGATTTTTTTTAAACAACTGAATAATGAAAGAAATATCAAAATACTAAAGTAAAAAGAAAAAGCAAAACCAAATAATTTCTAAAAATAAAGAAAAATCTCTTCTTCTCAAGTGAGTTCTTTTACATGTTTAGTAGAAATATAATGAAATATATTTCAGGAATATTACGTCCGAAAATAACAACAAATCAAACTTTTACAGCAAAAATCTTATTATACTTTATTTTAATGAAGTTGTAATGACACCAGGTTACTTTCAATGAGTTTTTATAATTTTCATCTTAAAAATCTTATTATGTAGTATGAGTCCAAACGAGGGAAAATGAAATTTTATGAGTTATTCTGCTAAAACTTTTTTCGAAAATTAAATGTATTTTAAATTCTACATCGCACTAGCATCCATTGCACAAACCTTCAGTATCTTTTTTGTAATTTTTATCAAATAAGCATGAATATTTGCATTATAAATTTTAAAAAAGGAGTTGGTAGTCGCAATATTCTTGAAATATTTTGCCCTGAAATGAAAACAAAATATTTAAATTTTAATTACTAAATATTTAAAGCAAAAATCATTTAAAACAGACTTTACTAAAAATTTGAAAATTATCTTTCAATCTTTAACTAGCATTTAATTAGCACCAACAATTATTAATGATAGAAGTTTTAAAATATATGTAAGATATAGATTAGAAAATCTTTTAAATTTCTGAATAGCATTTCAAACTACGTAATTGAATTTATTTAACTTATACTTTATAGGTAAGTTTTTTTTTCGAGAAAAAAGAATAACTTACATATTACAAACTATATATCCTATACAAATAATAATAAAAGTCCAATTCTCAAGCTTAAATATCTACATATATGAGTACATAAAATTTGATTATTTTTAATTTTAAGGCAAAAATAATATTTTTAAAGTCATTATTTTATTACACTTCTGTACAAAGATATATCATAAATGTAATCAGCCTTGTATAACATAAGTAAGGGAAGAAGGGTTCTGAACCAAATTTATTCCCTTTATATTTTCAACTGAAAATAAAACTTCGGTTCTTTCAACTTTTTTACGCTTGCTGCTCTGTACGTATATCTACACGAGTTTATTTTGAAGTAGTGATGCGAAATTCAAAGGCTTTAATATCTTTGTAAACTAGCAAACCCACAAACCGTATCTAACCCAAACATGTTAACTTTAAATCTGCAGTATCTGGTAATTACTAATTTTAGTTCTGTAATTTACTGAATTGTACATGTACAGTAAAGTATATCAAGACATTTGCGATAGACAAATTGCGGTGTATATTTGTTGAACAATCAGCAATCGATTGAAATGAAAAAAATATTATATTTCATTATATTGACTTTGTTAAAATGTTTGTGTTACAGAAAAGTTTCCGATTCGTAATTTATCAAACCAAAAAAATATTTTTCTGTTATTTTATTTTATAATAAATATTAAATTCTGTTCATAAAAAATTAAAGAAGTATGATGAAAATGAGCCTGGATAAAATGAAAATATTTTACTATTTAAAATTTCTGTAAAGTACGTAGAGAAAAAGATAGTCAAAATTTACCTGGAAGCAAAAATTAATTTTCTTCAGTTAGTAATTTTTATTTTTCCATTTTTTAAAACAAAGAAAGGTAATTGAAAATGCTATGACAGGAACATCTAAGCATTAATATAATAAAGAAAAAAAAACTGGCTATTTAGCATTATCACATCATTTTGTTCATGGGTATTTAAACTTCAGGAAAAAAATAACAATTTCCTTGCAAAAAATAAACAAAAAATATTTGGTATCCTTAAAGTATCTTTAAAAATTTTGTTTTAATATACATTTTTTTTTATAGTGAAATCAAATAAACGTGAAAGTGTGTAAGATTTAAATTTTCACTCAACTCACTTTACCAAAAAATTGTTTTTAAAAGAAAAAAACTCATCCAAATTAGCAGAATGTAGATATGGTGCAGAAATTCTCCACATGTACAATCCTAATTCTTCCGGAGCTTTTCTTCTATCATATACAACTATAAACAAACTCCAGACCGTTTTCTCTAGACGGTTCTATTGGTTAACCCTTTCCCATTCATCTTTATCTGATTATATTTTTCGCTACTTCTCAGAACAATTTTTCCCCTACACGCCAGCTCGTTTTTGTGTCAAATTTAAACAGTTTGTAGATTTAGACAAGTATTAATAAATATCAACATAGATAATTATCCAGATATATTTAACTTCTACTACAAGATATATTTAACTTTTGTCAAAGTAAAAATGTATCATTTTCTTACCGAAAAGTATGCTTGAATGTGTTAACGAAATCAATTAGAAATGCAATTCAATTTATTTTAAAGTTGCTTGTAATTGTATTTAAAGCAGGTTAACAAAGTGAACAAGTCCGGAATTTTAGTAGCTTCTAAAAATTGAAAAATATTTTATTTCGTAAGAAGCAAAATTTTTTCTACCAAACTTCGCTCTATTGGTTTGTCAGTCTATAGGTTTGCCGGTCTGTGTGTCTCCAGTTCGACTGAACCGATTTTGATGAAATTTTGTATGTGAGTTTATTTTGGTTAGGTCACGTATTGATCAAATTTTTTTGTCAGCTTATCAGGTCTTGAGAACTGAGCGTTTTCGCTAGCCGACTTTACATTTTTGCACATATAAAAAGAAATAATTCACCAATTTTCTTGACATTTTATATTTAAAACTAAAACATATTTAGAACTAAAAAAATGGAAATTGCTTGGAACTATCAGGGCACGGAAAACGGAAAAGGGACCGAATTTACATTTTTTATCATATATATGGAATTAATTGACAAAATTCCTTAAAATTTAGTATTTGACTTCTGTTTGCTACCGAATCTATCAAGCGAACCTTCCAGAGAATTCGGAAGCGAAACTCTACTAAGAGCCAAATTTACATTTTTCTAGGTATGTCAACTACAAGCTTACTAGTTTTCTCACAAAGTCAAAGGAATTTTCATGGTCGTCTGTAATACTTTCACTAAGCTAGACAATACATTTTTCGGTCGTTTACGTGCTGACCACATCAAAGTTTTTTTTTATTCATAGAATTTGTAGAAATCATTTCAATTAGTGTTATTATTATGGTTGGCGGTGGCTAATAATTTTTTATAATACCTTTTTTTCTCTTGTCTTTATTTTTTATTTTAGTTTCACTATTTCCAGTTTAAAAGCCAGAACATTTAATTCCACATTTTCTTTCATAAGTTCATAAAAACCATCCCACATAATCCACCTCCAAAAATATAAAAAGAAAAAAATTTATTAATCTTTGTTTGGAGAGTGCCGATGGATGCAAACAATTTTATAAGGTAAAATCGCCCAACGTAGTGTACATAATTATGTTTTTATTTTTTTGTTTTTTTTTTTTTTTTGTTTCCAATTACGAAATAAATTTTTCAATATTTTAAATTTTTAACCTTATATTGAATTTTACGAATGAATCTCGTGCAATTAGTTAATAAACATTAGTTGATTTATCACTTGTATAGATTAAAGCCCATATGCACTGTATTGTTTTTCTTTAATGATAATATCACATATGCTTAAATTCAACAAAATACACAGAAATACATAACCAAATGAAGAAAAAAACCGATGTGATCACCACTTAATCGACCGCAATGTGTATTGCTAGTTTAGCGAATGTGTTAATGGAAATCTGCTACAAGACCAACTTTATAATATATATACACATATATATACATTTATTTGTTTCATGTATATATACAATTTTAATTACATATATCAGTGTCCGTAATTCATAAAAATTATTTTACTATCTTCTTATATTAAAAATTTACACACAATTCTTTTTTCAGAAAGTACGTGACTTTAATTATATTAGGAGATACGAGCAATAATAGAAATACACTAGAGAATAATGTGAATAAATAATTATCATCCTTTCTGTACAATATTGCAGAAAAATATGATGCATTCTTCCTTATAGTGGTAGTGCTAGTACCCCTAATTCGTTGACTTACATAATCTTCTACCTCGTCAGGAAACTTAAAAGTCCATGTAAATTACATTACTGGACAACTGGGACACCTGGGAAAAAACCTGGATTCTTCTTGTTTCTTGAATGAACTGGGACACCTGGGAAAAAACCTGGACTCTTCTTGTTTCTTGAATGTGTGTGTTAATATTAGAACTGTATTTTTATAAAATGAAGAAAGGAAAATATCATAATTTTTTCTCAAAAGAAAAAAAAAGGTGATTCAGAAGTGTAATCAAAAAAATGCATTAAAAACTTACCTACCGAAATCGCCTACCGAAAGCTTTAACTTTTGAACAGAATCACCTATACGTGCATATGTAAAATAAAATTTCAACACCCGTGAAAACAGGAAGGTGTAAAAATTTTTGAAGATTTTAAACATATAAATTGAGAGAATTGGATTTTAGTAAAATTTAAATAAACATAACTCAGATTTTTTGATTGCCTTCCTTTTTACAGTATTCACTCGTATGTTCATTACTGTGTTTACTTGTATGCTTTTACAAAGTAACAATATAATAGCAGATTTTTTATTGCCTTCTCTTTTCATTGTTTTCATTTGTATTTTTGTATACACAAATACACTACTTCTTATCGCACAAAACTTATTTTAAATTTGTTGAACTGTTTGTTATATAAATCACATTTATATGAACTTTGTTATTATATAAATATTCTATAAATTTTATGTGACATTCCTTTAAATGTTTCTATTTTATTTTTTTTAGTTTTATACAATTTAATTTTTCTTCCTTATGATTTTGTTTAAAATCATGATCTAACCGAATCTAACAAATTTTCTGTTCAAAGATTTACATATATGAATATAGGATTTCTTCGTGTGACGGCACCACTATGTAAAGAAATACCTAAAATTTTTAATACAAAAGTATATAATTTAATAAGATAAACTACGAAATCTCATTTACCAAATTTTGCATTAAATACGATCAAAAATAACTTATTTAACCAATAGATTTATAGAAAAAATTTTAATTTTTTTATGAAACTACTCGCATATGTCGTGATTCCAATCAAAAAAGTTGGAATTGATAAGCAACAAAAGACTATGAAAGTAAAAAGTCATATTTTATGTACCCAATCACCAATACATTTTATGTATTTATACATAACATGCATATTTTTGTTCGAAGTTGTACGTTGGTTTTTGTTACTATCAAATTACTGCGACACTGCGAGAGCGACGGTTGCACGATGTGTGATAATACTATTCAATCCACTGATTTATAAAGGGTAGGTTGTATTATACAACATGCGATACCGGCAGTTGCAGAATTTCGGAAAACTGAATATTTGCCGCTGCAACGTGCAATGGCAGTTCAAAAAACACAATTTTTAATTTCAAAAAAAAACATTGCGAGAAAAACGATGATTATATTATAATTTCAAAAGTAAAATTAAAAAAAAAATAAGCTAATCAACTGAAAGGATAAGAAATTGAAAAATTAATATAATTAGTAAAAATAAACTTACAATAAAAAAGTATTTTAATAAAAAATGATTTGCTGTCGGTGCTAATATAAACTGAATTACGATAACGACATTTCTACGACATCTCGTACGTGTTTCGCTGTCGCAGTGCAGCAGCAATGTAAACAGTGCATATTTTCATTTTATTTTAGAATAGAATCAATAAAAAGGAAAAAGAGTTAAGTTTTAATTCAGAAATTCAGGAAACTCAATTCAAAATAAAGGGAAAGAATTAAGTTTCCATGAAAGATAAAAGAGTTGTTAAACTATTTATGGATTTGAAAAACCCGTTACATGGTTTATTTACTGTAACCATGCAAATTAGAAGAATTATTTAGAAGAAGAATATTTCGACTTTCACTGTTATGCTAAAAGATTTTATATCAAAAACCCGTCACATGACTCCTATACTATAAAAACGCAAATGAGAAGATTTTTCGTAGTGTTTTGTGTACTTATTTTTTTTTTCAGCGAAATGTTCAATAATAACAAAAACGAATTGTCACGAACAAGAAAAGAGAAAGCGAAAATCTAAAAAGGATGGAAGAAAATTTTTGTTTTCACATAATTTAACACAATTTAAATCGTTGAAACCTTTGGTTATAAAGAAAAAATATATTATATCTTTCATATTATCTTTTATGCTTTGATTTTGTTAATTTTTTGTATTTATTATTCACATATCACTCATTTTCTTACAAGTTATGTTACCTCATTGTTATAATTCCAGCATAATTAAGTAAAGTAATACTTCTTACTTTTAGTTTTTTACTACAATTTTGACGTTATAACGATTATAAAAGAAGTTTGAAACTATAACATTAAAATTGTAGTAAAAGAACTACACTGACATGCGGAGAAAACTGTATGAATTTTAAATTACGTTAAACATTAATTTTTTGTACATTCTTGTAAGTATTTTAGGTAGCAAATAGATTTTTATATGTTACTGCGTTTGTAATAACCTATAAAAACATAAATAAACATTCTTGAAAATCTTATTCATTTATTTGAAAGAGCATTTAAAAGAATAAAATTAATTCTTGCGATTACGAACGTTAAAGATACGCTTGTATTAAGAATTGGGACTTAAATGTAAAATTTTTTTAATTTTGAATTTCAAAAGTAAGCTTCAAATGCGAATACATGCCTGCAAACTAAAATTTCGATTCGCTAAGCGTTTTTGGAAATTTGAGTTTAATAACTCAAATAAATTCGTCTTGAGTTTTATACTCGTATACTTGGCATTTGGCAACCTTAAATTTATACCGCGTAAAATGACTCAAAATATTAATTTAATAAGAAAATAGACATATAAATAAATGAAAGAAATAAATAAATGTAAGAAAATATTAATTTAATAATGAAATAGACAAATAACGTCAAAATATCATGGGATGGTATTTTGCTAGTACTAAGCGTAAAAAAGACAAGTACCTATACATAGTTTTAGTTAACATAGTCAAAAATGTAGTTCTACAAGAAATGTTTTAACAAATTAACTTTGTCCAATAAATATTCAGCATAAAATGTATTTAAATGACCAAAAAATTTAACTGAAAAAGTGAACTAAATGTACATGTCATATTCTAACAGTGACATTGCTAAAACTGATAAATACATTTATTAGTTTTAGGAACATTTTTAATACTGAAAAATAGAATTGTGGCAAAAAAAACATTCGAAACAAGTCATACTTTAAATAATATATGTAAGTGACTATGTATTTATGAACAAAAAAACCTAAGATGCATGTTTAAAATTTCCAATGCTTTCTTTTAATCGCCATTATAAAACTGAACCGGATTTCTTTTTAAGTTGCAAAAATAAATATAAAATCACTAGCTGTTAACCGACTATATAGCGATGTCCTTATATTATAATTAAAATGTGAACTTATTTAATAAATTGTTATATATTATAAAAATATACATACAAAGTTTAATAAAAACTTACGTTTTAAATATAATCGATTACAATTAGAAATAAGCAAAGAAAGACAAAAAAAATATACATTAAACTTACTTTAAATTAAAAATATTCCATGGAGTTGAAAATAATTTTTTAACTTTTAATGTAACACAATTTTTTTCGTAAAGTTAAATTTGAAAACTGATGCAATCATTATTCAATTCTATTTTATGCACTAAAACAGTATTTTTTAACTACTCAATAAATAAAAAATTATATAACCTACACTTAGATGAAACATGTTTTCGAATTGATTAAATTTCAACTAATGGCTAATTTCAAAAATTTCCAATTATATTACAGCAAATGTTTTTTCTGTTTATATATATCCTTTTATATAGCTTTTCTTTGTAAATATTATATTTAATTTAAAGTAGAGCATTCACTGAAATTACTTTATATTTGACATTATATTTAGCTTATAAGTATCCGTTGACATTTTGGCAGTGATAAATTAATATTTTCCAATTTTTTCTTAATATTTATTAAAACAATTTGTAAAACAAAAAAAAAAATTTTTTTGGAAACTTTCGCAAAAATCTGGAAAATGTAAAATTCTAAAATACGAAACAAAAGAACACATACACTTTTTAATTTTTAATCAGCGCATTAATGCCTGTTTTTGTCTTTTGTTATCATCACCTTATGCTCAAAACAGATAATTTTTCTATTTACCTCATATAAGTATACTCAGAACTTTGTTTTTATTTCTTTCTTAGTCATTATTATTTTTAAAAAGTTTTAATGAGGCAAAACAAACATTCTCCGCTAAATGATTTGATAGCACAACGTTTCAAAGTAAACTGAAGAACAACAGAATAAAGTCCCAAATAATTTTTTTCTTATTTCTAGAATCTGAAAAAATCAAAGTATGAAAAGAAAAAGAGAATAACTGATTAAACAACGAAAAAAGAGCATCCTCACGGTATTCTTTCCATGAATAAAGCAAGCACAGAGTTTGATTCAAAAAATAGAAAATCAAAAAGAATATTTTATGTATCATATAAACGAAAACACTTTATTCGTATTTGTGTTTGTACAGATTTCCTGCGTACAATTAAAATCCCATTTATAAAATTCGATCTATGTACTAAACAACTATTTTAATATAAACTTTATATAAACTGTTTTGATATAACACACTCTATAGGAATTTTTAACGAATACCAACGTACTGCACGAGTTATAAGTGAAGAAGAACGTGGAATATGAAAAAATTTACCTAAACAATCTAAACACGTATGTTTTGCGTACATATAAAGAAGACGACCAGAATCAAAAACCCATATCTATTTCGGATAACAATGATATTCATACCAAAGTATATTTACTAACAAGTAGTTCGACTCTCCGTTTACATCACACTAATGCAATCACTCACCAATATTTGTATACAAAAAATTCGCTTAGTTAAAAGAGTTAAGCAGTATACCTTGTTATTTTCATTTTTATACACATAAGAGTTTTTGGGAGAGGGAAAGAGTACGCAATAGATGTCAACCTGTTTTTTTATAATGTATTTTGAAAGGCGACACTTTATTATTTGCTCGTATATAAAGAATAGGGAAAAATATTAAGAATTTTAAAAGCGACGCAATATTTTCTGTAATTCATTCCAGTACAGATGGCAAAAAAGGTGTATTCATATTATAAAAGCGAAACGGAAAAAAGTGTTTAAAAAAATTATTACAATTTATATGAAAAATAATAAAAATAAATTTTAAAAAGACGTATAATATTAAAAAAAATTTTAAGTAGTTGTGAAAAAAGAAAAATTTTTTATAATAATGGGTAAGCATTAGTTGAAGTGTTTGGGATGTAATATTGTGTATGAGGCAAAAAAGCCGACACTAAAATTTCATTTCTTGCCAAGAGATGTGGAGAGCTTTGTTCTTTTAAATGAATCGGTAATAACTATATTTCAGTAATCAGTTCAAATTATAAAGTAATCAGTATGCATACACCTTTTTTTCTTTATAAATCACTTTATTTCTATGTCACTACCTTATGCTGTGTATCTACTGTACCTGGTACATGCATGTGTACATTCATACATGAAATTTCAAACTCTTTTGCTTTCATACATTCGAATTTTTTACCTAACTTTAAAAAATGAAAAATAAATTTTGTTATTATCAAAACAAAAATAACAAAATTTTTACCTAACTTAATTTAATTTAATTTCAAATGTTCAATGTTTTTGATAAACTCGTTTGTTTACAATATTTTGTTTCTTTCTTGCCTACACAACTCTTATTACCATTTATTTCTAAAAAAAATGGAATATTTTAAGAATTTGGAAGCAAGATGCAAATGAAAACTAACGGAATGGAACGAGTCGAATTACTTATTAGTAGATATACTTTGATTCATACAATTCCCAAAAAAAAGTGTTCGCAAACAACGATAACTTCAGTTTTATTTAAAATAAAATTATTATACAAAATCTGAGATTTGAACTACGATAGTCTCTTGACATATCAGACTTAATTTATCTGATTGCGCTCAAACTTAGTGTCAAATTTTAATAAATTTACTATAATTTAAACCAAAATAAAAATCACATAATCGTTGCTTCAAACTTTCACAAAAAAAAATTGTCGCTATTTTACTTTTAAAAACTTTGACAAAGTCTGATATCAAACAAGACTTACATAATACAACTTTCATCAGACTCAGATTAAATCCATAGATTTTGTTTAAATGTAAACAGTAACTTTTGAGAAGTTGGTAAAAATATTCTTTTTCAAATTTTTGCAAATACATTTTTATAGACAAAAATTTATTGACGTTTACTTTATGCAGTTGTCGTCTTTTTCGCTTTCAGTTGTAACTGATGTTAATTATAATTGTTAAATATAATATTCCACAGTCACTTGAACGTGGCTTGAACTCTTGGGTTTGAGGAGCAGTGCCATAACCGCTGCATCATTGGCCAGGTCGACACCACAATGTAGGATAACCAAAATGGAAAATGGAGAAACATTTATTTAGAAAAAGATGTTAGTGCAATTTCTTCAATCTCAATACTTGTAATGTCCGCTTTAAGAAAAATAGAGTTTTCAAATAAAACTTTTTTAATTAGGCTTTGATTTAAGCGTCTACTTAAAATTTTCAAATAAGGTTTATTAGAATAGTTCATATTTTTTTTTCGTGTTAAACTTTTGTATCGGAGGAACTGTTAACCTTTAGCATTTGCTTCTAAACAATTTTTAACTATTATTGCAACAACGTTTTCAAAAAAAACAAAAAAAAAATTAATTTTTCCTTTTAATAAATAAAAGCTTGAGTTTATATAGTAGTTGAACAAATATTATTGGTTTATGCACATTAATATTAAACACTATACTTAATATACATTAACTAACAGAAAAAACTCAGTCAGACATACAATATTGTTCATGAATTTTGTTTTTAATTTGATTAAAATTTAATGAAAGTTCGTAAACGTTCGGACGTTATATTTGACAGATAAAACAAAGCGCATCCAAACTTTTAGTTATTTCATTTGTATCAATTATTCAAGGCGGCAATTCTGAGCTTCATTTAATTGTTTTCACATTTATGCACATCAACGCTGTAAAATTGAAGATTTATCTTCAAAATGAAGGTTTTTTGATCATATATAGGTTCTATTATGATTTCCTTTGCTCTATTATACTTTTACATTTGGAGTTGAAAAAGGAAAAATAAAAATATAAAAAATCAATTAATATAATTCTTTTTAGTTTAAATTACATTTTATCCGCACTACATTACAGATTAATAACGCCACGTGCAAAACTGCCATTGATAACTGACTTGGTAACTTGGTAATTTCGTATTTGATTTGGTAATTTTCCTAAATTCTTAATATATATTAAAGAATACTGAAATTCTTTAATTACCTTTTTTTTATTTCAAAACGGAGAGTAGTGCTGTTTGTAGATCTCATTCTTCCTAATACTGAAAATAACACCTTTTAAGTAAGGACTATTAACAAAAAAAATGTTACTTTTTAACTTCATTGGCAATATTATTATAAATGAAAATTCCATTTTTCAGAAAAAGTCCGCTGCGACCGTTCCAAGAGCTACAATATCATTAGCATAATCCTGGACTTCAATTCCCTGACGGAGCAGTTCACAAGTGCACCAGCAAACTCCACATCAGTAGAGACAGAATTCCACTCTGTGGACACTTCCTTGACGCGACCTCGAAGCTCTTCCACACCCTTTCCAACACCAGTGGATGCCTGGCCATAGTCCTGACCGAGGCGTCTGCCAGCTAAGCATCCAGATCCCCACTGTATCCCTCCCAATATGTCCGATTTGGGTTTCTAAAGGTTTCTTCTCCATTAACCCACGTAGATCAAATCGGATGATTTTATGGTCCTGCAAAGAAATCGCCTTGGGCTGTCAAACGTTGGATATCACAATACTTTCTGTGGAAGTAGTGCGGGTATTTCCTTTTTATACCCTAGTCACTTCACGATTGGATGTAGTGCAAGTACTTCCTTTCTATATCCTAGTTATAAAAGTCGGAGCATTGCCTACATTAATTATTTCCAAATTTTCCCTAGTCAAAAATTTTAGCAAAGACTAACCTCTAATGTTTGCGTTAATTCTTCCCCACGTCTCGTGATATGCCTGATGATGAGAGGTCGTCTCTTTCTGTTACACTGCTCTATCATTTTCTGTCTTTCCGGTGATGGGCCCTGATAGGTGTGATATCTTTTGTCATGACTCTTAAAGTAAAATAAACTTATTATTTTTTCTTATCAGAATGCAGGCTTCTGGAAGGTCTTATCCATAATCCCATACAACTTGTGTATCTCTAATTGACAGCTCTTTGATCTGTCGCCTCTAAACCCAGAATTCCTGTATCATTGCTATACGCAGATGTTCCTTAGTGAACATCTTTTCCAAGACAGTCGAAGCTGCCCTGATATGATGAGGGTTCACCTAGGCCATCCCAGTTCCTTCCTCCCTCTCCGTCTATTGTCTTTTGCTAGTAGGGTGATTTTCAGGTAAGCTCTGAAAGACCACTTCTTCTGGAGATGGCCCTTTAAGGAAAAGGAGAATTAGCTTTATCTCATCTGCTATCTCCGTTATCGATCTTCCAGGAATCGTTTTTCTTCGGATGTATCGAACTCATCGGACAAGCCCTCCTCGTCGCTTGTGACCCGGTCTATTTTTGCATCAGAGATTTCTCCGACCCAACAGCTGCCAGACCAATGCCATCAGCTCTGCCCGCTTTCAGCTAGTGTACGGAAATTTTCCCGAAACGATACCTCAGAAGTGTCCCACCTTTTCAATGGCGCCTGCTATGCGCCGTCGGTTCCAATCTTCAGTACCTGACTTCCTCTGTCTTTCTTCTGGCCTACCAGTTTCCAGACCCAGGTCCATATTCCCCTCTTCTGTGCCAAGATCTTGCTCCACTCTTGACCCGTCACAAAGACGGTGATGACTTGGGACTTGAGGATGGCATCTTCGATTTCTACAGACAATTCTGAGCCTTTCCATGCGCATAACGTTAGTGCCTGTCTCACTAGCAATCTGGCAGTCCCTTCGTCTACACAGTCGACAAGAATCATTCCCGGTTTGAAGTGTATTCCCTCAAACTGGAAAACCTCGTCCCAGTCCTTGATTACCCTGTCGATGATAGCCTCCTCCAACTTGGATAGCTTGTCGCCAAAACTGAAACCTTTATGACTTTGACGGCCGCAGCACAGCTGACACTCGGAGTAGCACCCGGAGCTTCAATATGCAATATTGACAGTATTTGCAATATTGTGTTTTTTGAACAAAAATTGTCGTTAACA